CGCTCGGGACGTCGTCGCTCTCGGTAAACTCGCCGGTGGCGAAAAAGCACACGGTCCACGCAAAGTCCTAGTCTCTCCGATTAAAGTTTGGGGAACATATCACAATCGACCTCACCTGGTTCATCTTGGTGGCGCTCGTCAAGTAGTTGCCGACGAACGTGTGAAAGTAGCTCACGGGAAAGAACGGCGTGAGCGCAATGTCGTGCAGGACGCGCAGCAGTCGCTTCTGGCGCGACCACGCCTTGATGCAGTAGCGGTACAGGACGTACACGACGAGTGCGAGCGGGTAGTAGCCGCGGGGAAGGAGCGACTCGGAGAGCTCGCCCGAGACGACCTGGACGTACAAGAGAAAGTTGGCGTAGAAGACCATCGTGAGGTCGCTGGCGTCGTTGAAGACTTGGGTGTAGTCGGCGGTCGTGCGCGGGTCGAGCTCGCAGATGTATCTAGTCCAAGAGACCTTAGTAGGAGTGATGAAGCAACGGAAAACGTACAGATAGTCGATGCGGGCCGAGCGCAAGACGAACTGCGTGAGGCCCCAGAGCCAGTGGAAGAAGAGAAGCAGCGCGACGCCGCGGTAGACAGGGTACGCCTTGGTCTGCGACCTACGCAGCCATCAGAAGAGATCGCGCGACACCGAGACGTACAAAACGACGCGTGTGCTGACCGCCGAGAACACGTAGTGCCACAAAACCCAGAGCGTCAGCACCAAGCAGATGCCCATCTTCAAGCCAATGTACACGTGTCGCCAGTCGAGCGCGTCGTCTTTCCAGCCGTCGAGTTCCGAGAGCGCGAGGACGCGGTCATTGTCGTGGAACGACGCCGTGTAAAAGGCCTCGAGATCTGCCGCCAATCGTTGCGCTGCCTCGGCGGTCGCGAACGCTTGGCAATGGAGCTCGGTTTGGAGCTTGTCGTGGTTGGCGCCGGCCATGGGGCATTTTTTCAGGTATTTTTTGAGAATTTTGCGCAGCGCCGTGTAGTTGAGACGGGCGTAGTTGTACAGGCCGTGAACGAGGCGGTGGAGCTCAATGCACGACGTTTTGAGCGTCTTGGACTTGGCGTCGTCGCTGCTTGTTGCGAGTGCATCCCACTGCCGCGCGAGAAGTGCAAACTGAGCCGAGAACTCGTCGAGGCGCGCGCTGTACCAATCTTCAACACGGACGCAGTTGGCGACGAACGCAGCTTCAAAGTCGCTGGCCTCGGGCGGGAGGCAGGGCGCCGCCTCGTTGCCTGTTTCGTGCTGCCGCAGAAAGGTCGCGCGCCGCTGGAGCTTTTGAACAAGCGCCTTGAGCTCGAGGTAGCTCACGTAGTGGTCGCGCCATACGGGAAAGGCATTCCGCTCGAGCGTGGACTGGAAGGTTAGCATCACGGCGGGGTATAATTAGATCTGGCCTTCTTTGCGCTTCGAGAGACAATGCCCCTTCTCGATGGCATCCACGACAGATCTTCGTGTCGCATAAACGCGCCGACGCATCGTCCCGCACGTCATTTCGACGGCAGAGTACGCTACGTCGCGCGCTGTATTCGCTAGTTCTAGTCGGTTGGCCGCTCATCTCTCCTCCCTGTCCTCAGAGCCAAGGCGCCATTAGTTTAGCCTCGACACGCGACTGTCAATGAGAACAGCACGCAGAAATGATGACGTGTCGCATGCAACCGTCACGCTGCGATGTGGGACACGGTTCGCGAGTGGCTGGAAATCGCCATCATACACTGTGATCAACCGACCTTGACGCACACTAGCTCGCACACTACTGCTGCCTCAACCTGGTGCATCGCCACCTCGGCCGCGCTCGCCCGATGTGTTTCAACCGCAGGCTGCATTTGGCAGCTGAGTGAGCTTATGCAATCGCAACGAGCCCAGCCAGCTCGAGAGTGTACTGCACTGAGACGAAGGGGAGCTCCTCAGCTTTTGTCGCGACGCACACTCAAGTGTTGGCCTGCCATAACCAGCCCGCTCGTACTAGTGGCTGGCTGCGGGATCGTCGCACGAGCGTCGAAGGACAAGCAAGTCGAGAGTCAGAATGCAATGCAAGTCCACTCACTCGAAGCCGTAATGACAAGCTTACCATCGCGCTTACCTCGCACCGTCATATCCGTCTTTCTCGAGCTCTTCGCTCCGTGGCTTCGAATCCGGTCGAGACTATAATTGCGGCGGCTCCAGCCATTCTGCATGTGAAGACAAGCGTTTGGGACAAAGGACGGCACAGACATATGTATTGAGATTCAATATCTTAGCAGCCGTCGCCACCAGCAATGAGCAAGCACGACGTCGACTCGAACATGGAGAGGATGCTGCACGTGATCGAGTAGACGAGCATGCAGAAGCAGAAGATGAGGACGAAGCCGCCGACGAGCGGGAACTGACCGCCCGTGCGCTGGAGTTCGTGGAGCTGGAGCTTTTGCTTTGGGAGGAAGAATGACGTGAAGCAGGCGATAAAGAAGCCGGTGTAGTAGATGATGTACGTGTACGCGACTTGGTTGCGCACGTGCTTGGTGTCCGAGATGATCGCGTCTTCGTCGACGTCAAAGTTGGAGTAAATACGGTTCGAGAGGACGGGACCGACGGCCGACGGGAGGTTCGAGACCGTCGTGAGGAGGCCATACACAATGCCTTCGTTGCCGATCCCGGCGAGCTCGACGATCATGAACGTCGTGACAATAAAGAGGACACCCTGCGGCAGCTGCTCGGCCAACGGCACCCCGAGGTAGAACCACTGGTTGCGGAGAACGTCGTAAAAGGTACAGAACTGCACGACCGAGTCGATGCAGGCTGTCGTCAAGGTGGTCGACACAACGACGATGCGCCAGTTCCAGTTGGTGCCCCAGCGACCGATGGACGCGACAATGCAAGCAAAGATGAGGTTGGAGACGATCGTCATGATCTGGCTGTTGAGGTTCTCGACCTTGGCCCAGTGCAGCTGCACGTACGGCGCCGCCGTCGACGAGAAGCCACCTCCAAAGAGGTTGTAGAAGAAGTTGAAGAGCATGATCTGCCACATGGCGCGCTTCTGGATGAGTTGCCAGACCTGCGCAATGTACTCGGAGAACTTGGCGGCCTCGTGCTTGTGGTCCTTGATGAAGAAGTACGTGATCGGGAGCATCGCGATGCACGGCACGCAAAGGATGATGTACATCGTGTGCACGCCAAAGTCCCACGAGTACGAGCCAGCGAAGCGAGGCGAG